ATGTTTGGTAGCATTTGTTTGTAGTACATAATGATTACATTTGTTGTGGGGAAATTTTTCACTATCTCCCAAGAGTACTGCAACTGGCAATCACTTTTAACACATAGGCCTTTGGAGGTCCATTATCAAAACCGTATGGGGTTGCCCGCACTGTTTCTCTAAGATAAAGCAGCAAAGAGCATCCTTGCATAGATTTGTCTGTACACAGGTTACTTTTTCATTTTTATTTAATTTTGGCAAATTATTTTCTCATGTGGTTATGCTAATTTCACCAGCAGTCTTCCTGTGATGACACCTCCTGAATAAATACTTAAAACTACTTAAAGTTATTGATATTATTATGTTATGTTCAGTACTAGTCTTATAATATGTTAATCTTATTATTACTTATTTTGCATTTTCCATCTATCCAGTAAGGTTGGATTATCTTTTTATAAATTTATTTGCCGCTTGGATTTTTATGTCTATGAATGTTATATCCTTTGCCCATGTTTTATTTCTTATTGTTTTGCTTTTATTCTATTGATTTATTGCATTATATACATATTATTAATCCTTAATTCATTAATTGTCTATAATCACATTTATTGGTCTTTTTCTTTCTTGCTTATACAGACTAGTTTTTATGCCTTTCTGCATGTTAAACCCTTGCTACCCCAAATGTAATTTATGAACCAGAAGCAGCAGCTGAGAACATATTAAAAATGCACATTCCTTTGATCTACATTACACCTGCAGAATAAGAATGTGAATTTTGTGGTACTGGGGATTAAATCCATGGCCTTTGCACTGAGCTACTTCTCTACCCTTTTTTCATTTTTTATTTGAAAACAAGTTCTCATTAATTTGCTAAGTTATGCAGGTGGAGCCTCCTTCCCTATTCTCCCAGAGTTCTGGGAATACAGGTGTACAACACTACATCTGGTTAAGAATATCACTTTACCAAGATCACTACGTTATTTGTATACAAATTAAGGATCTTAAAATACCCTGTTAAATAATTAAAAAGCTAACAAAAGTGCAAAGTTTTCTTCTCCAGGATAGTTGCAGTGTAGTCTCTGCCTGCCTTCCTCTTCCTTTGTTGAAAGTAAAACTCCTTGGCTTTGAACCTGTGAGTCCTCAGTTCCTATATCCTAGACCTGCACTAAAAAAATATCATAAATCAAAGGAGCCATTAGAGCCTGTTTTGTAAATTTGAGTGTTTTCAGGATTTAGCAATGGAATTTTCAAAGAGCGGACACTTCTGTTTATCTGATTCCAAACAGATAAATAATCAGTGATGACAGTGCATTGTAATACGGCTCAAAATGCAAGCCTTGAAGGTTTTTATGAATGCTGTCATGAAAGAAATGAATTCAGCTAGGGAGCATAATCCATCACATTTCTTCCTTGTTTATACAGGCCTCTATTTTTAGTTGAGACAAAATTCTCCAGAAATGAATAACAAGTAGGATTAATACGGGAAATCACTGAGACTTACATGTGTTGTCTGATACCTGACGACTTCTGTGTATCAACATGGTTTCCTGCGGAGTATCTGAGTATTTGCCCATGCATGCAGAGGGCATCAAAAGAACACCACTGCACTGAGAGTCATGAGGAAAATTGTACCACAGAGCACCCTGCCTTCTCCAAAATGATGGAGCATTCCACAGGTTGAAGCTATCTAACTGCAGGGATTATGGTGGAAGTGTTTACTGCTCAGTAAATGTCTAAGGACTGTTTCGTATTTCCAGTCCCCCATTAGTAAGTACAGGCCCATAACACCAGATCTGGTTAACAGATTTTGAGGAGAAACATGTCACTACAGGGCTGAAACTTTAATTTCTTTCTCCTCTCTCTTTCTTGCCCTGCTGCAGTAACAAAAGAGATCATGAATTGCATACGATGGGGCTACAAGGTAGTTGAACCTCCACCAGTATCCTGGCCTCTTTGTAACGGGGTGGAGCAGTTCCCTCCACTGACTCACACTGGACATGTAACATGAATGATAAAGAAAGTTCTCTGTTTGTGTTAAGTCACTGAGATTTGGATGCTGGCGTTATAGCATGGCCTGAGTTTTGCTGACTAATATAGTCAGCCTAGCCAACTCATTAATAATGGCCGAAAGCATCGAGTGTATCGAGCTGTAAGTTTCACGTGCATCACAACTTTCTGAAGTGGACAATGATGTTATCATAAATTATAGGCTATGTATGATCTAGGGTTGTATCATAGCCATCTGTATGACATAACTCTAAATCACATATATTAGTAGTATGTACATATCATCTGTCATGGTTTATATGTAGGTGTCGCCCAAGAGCTGCATGTGCTCATAGGTGGGGCTTCTGGAAGGTGATTGAATTATAGGGGTGATATAGCTGATTTGCTGTTAGGAGGTAGGGTCTGCTTAGAGGTATGTGAGTTAGGAGTGATCCGGAGTATCGATACATCTCTGTCCCTGGCTCCTCCCTTCTCTTTTTGTTTCCTGGCAGCCACGGTGCAAGCAGCTTTTTGTCTGCCTCCACTTTGATGTTTTGTGTGTTCAAGGCTGAACTCAAGTTCTATGTACCCCATTTACTATCTCCAGCCTCCTCTGCTCCCTCCTCAGTGTTCCCCATTTCCATAAATTGTACCACCCTCCCTCTCTTTGCTTATATTGAAAACCTGGAAGTAGGGCTACATCAGTAGCTATGGGAGTGCTTAGCATCAAAATGTGCTTGAGTATATTCTGAAATTTAAAGATACCAAATGAAATCGTACCATAACTAAAGCAAGTCTTTAAAAATGCAGATTTTCCCACAGTGTCTTTTATAATCCTTTGAGAATGAGTATCCAAACCTTTTCAAAACAAGGTAGGAGCCCTTCTTTTGCCATCAGTCCGAGAGTCTTTTGGTAGTCCAGCAATTTCTAGGAGTCAATAACTAGATGCCACTTCTTCTTGATTTTGCCACCTAAAATATTTTCAAATATGACTGCTCCTGTGTGATACCAATGCACCAGACCCCAAGCCAGCCCGACCACTCGTCTAAATACCTGCATTAGCCTCTGCCCCACAAGTCACTGCTCCAATTTACTCTCCACAAAACAGCCAGGCTGGGCAGAATGACTTCAGGAACCCCCATAACTGATCCTGATCTGTTGCTTTACTGCTTAAGACTCCTCAATGATTTTCCACTGTCCTTAGGATTAAAATCTCCGATTTGTCAGGAGGTCCAAAACTCTGCCACCTCAACTTGAGCCAGCTTCATTCAGTTCTTGGAAAGAACCAAGTTTCTTATGTGCCTTTGCACACAATTTACTCTGCTCAGAATTCTCCCTTTCAACTTCTCCTCCACTTCTTAGACTTAATGTCCTTGCTTTAGATAAGCCTTTATTAACATCCCACCTGTTGTACTTAGGGTTTACAAAGGAAAAGATTTAATACAGGACACATAGTTGATAGGATTATTTTATAATATTCACCGAAAGAGTCAAATGCAAGACTGTGGGAGATCTATCCACACACTGGAGAACCAAAGAATCCAGCTGAGGGCCTGGATCCCATGATGATGTCCTGCATGAGTCCAGCTGAAGACCCAGAGCCCATGTCAGTGTCCTCCAACGAGTCCAGTTGGAGGCCTAGAACCCATGACAGTGTCTTATGCAAGTCTGTATCAAGGATCTACACTGGGAAGGTCTGAAGGTCAGTGGTGGAAGCTAGAAAGTCTGTGCTAGAGGGGTGAAGGATCTGTGCCAGCAGGCAGAGGCATCTGAACTGGAACCAGGAAGTAACGCTCAAGGTAAGGACCAGAGCTCTCCAAAAGAGAGACAGTGAGCAACAGGGAATAGCCAAGCTCCTCTCATGATGAAAACAGCTGAGTTCATTTCAGGAAAACCTGTGTGACAAGCTCCTCCAGGAGAATCAAAAGCACACCATCTTCCCCTCCAGTTGTGCTTTTAGGTTGTTGACAACAATCCTCAGCTGGGCCTTCCACATCCAGCACCATACTGATTCAGTTGAGCTGGGTGTTATAAGTTGACCTTTAGTTCATCCACCACACTACCCCAGGTAGCTCCTTATTAAACACTTTCTTAGTACTCCCTACTTTGCTTTGTAAGGAAGTGTTTACATATGCAGTAGTTTAATCTCTCCTCACTGTTGTAATGGAAACTTCCTGAGAAAGAGTTGGTAATACACTGTAGCACATATAAGTAATGCTGGAGTCTTGAACCCAACTTTGTCTGATCCTAGAGCTCTTGCTCACAACTACCACAGGTACATAAATCTACTCATATGGCAAGATGGATTTTTACCTCTTTATTTTATGATGGTTAAGTAATGATGCATGGGAAACAAAGGTTTGACTAGAAAAATACAATTTTCTAGAAAAAATATAATTTGCTCTGTTGCCCTGGAGCAAATTTTATACACCGTAGGTTTTTCTTCCTCTGGGAGGACAGAAACAGGCAGTGCAGACCACAGGCTAGAATAGTTGAGGTGAGCTAGTCTCCTATACTCCTGATGTATAATACTATTTACATAGTTGTAAATAAGGATTTCATTAACCACCATACACTGTTGTAAAGCACTCATTTTTTCAATATCTATTTAATGAGCACCTAAGATATACTAGGCCTCCGCTGACATGCTGGGGCTACAATACAAATTAGTATTCAAAATGTTTAGTAGAGTGCCTCAGTCATTTAATGTTACAGGTGTCACTTACAAATGTTGTCATAGCCGTGTGTCGATGGCTGCATGTGTTACCAAACTGGACTGAGTATGTGAGATTAGTGACTTTTGTCATTATCCCAGTAGGGGTCCCAGTAACTCTACTAGCCTAAGAGCCTGCACTCCTATCACAGCGTGATGTACCTGCCGCTCCCCTCCACGCCACCAGAGGGCGCGCGAGCTCCACCTTCCGCCCGACTCATCTGCGCCTGCGCGCCACTAGCCGCTCTATCTTTATCGCGCGCTCTCTGGTGGCCGACACGCCTCATTGCGTAGCGCTCCGCCTCTGTTGCCCCTAGCGGCCGTTTGTTGACTTCCGGAAACGCAGTAGAAGCAAATGCCAGGAGGGTCACAGCGGGGGTCTCGGGGGCTTCCGCGGCCCCGAGTCGGGATGAGGGCCTACCCAAGGCCCCACCGAGCCGCCCCTGCGGTCTTCCCGGCCCAGGCACTTTGTCCCTATACCACCCACGGCATGGGGGAACCCGAGACGCCGGTGCCCGGTGAGTCGCGGCTGTGGCGACCGGCCGGGAGGGACGGTCCGCG